TGTGTAGTTATATCATACAATGTGTAGTAAATCCTCTTATTTCCTTTAACACACAGATATGCTATCTAAAAATATATGAGACAAATCTTCTCAATTTCTTAATCACGTCAACTTTTCTCTTTCAGTACATTTGTAGCAAATTATCTTAGTTCCTTAGTCACTGCAATAATCGCCAAATATACAAAATCATATCATCTCATACTCGTATCTTTGACCACATATAGTTTCTATGCCACGAAGTATGTGATAAATCGTTTTATCTTATTAATCAAGACGATATTTTCTGTCAAGAAATATATAATAAGTCCTCCTACTTCCTTAACCATCTTGATATTCTTCTACAAAAACATATATGGTAAATCCCCTTATGTTCAGCAATACATTCATCTTTTTTTTTTCTCTTTTTTATGCCAATCGTGAGCTATAGATGTAACATCCGGAAAGCCCTTGGTTCGCCAAAATCACTACCAGGTTTCTTCTTCTTCATTACACAGACCCGAAATGGCACAGATATCGAAATGTCCACTTCTACATCCAGAGAGATTCAGATGTAGGCTACTGAATTATCTTTAAAACAGCAGAAAATATTGTGATACTTGAAGTTACTTATATGTTGTAGCTTATATCCCAAATAGAAATAATACAACATAGAGTTCTTGTTACTTGAAGATAGCTCAATGCTATTTCCTAAAATGCAACCTGCTTTATTACTCGAAGCTAGACTTACGCTATTATATGTAACCTAGGTATTTAACTCATCACTTTGTATTATTTAAAGTTAGGGCTATTTTTGCTATTTGTGATCTGTACAAGATGTTGTGTTATATGTATTAAAAATATAAATGTTAACAGCAAGTACGAATATATAATATATTGTTGACTGTAGCCTCATTATATTGTGAAACATAAAGTATAACATATTTAACCTTTATCTGTACACAGTTAGTTCAACACAAGACAAGTGAGAACTATAAGATTGTTACACCTCTAATTTATAATTACAAAGCTCATTGTAAAACTTAACATAGTTTTGTAGGCTATGTTTTAATATAGAAATTTCTAGAGGTCTGTGTTGTTGACTGGATAGACGGAGGTTTAACAGCGTAAAGAACGTGGTTTAAGGTCTGTATTTTCCTCAAATTGTCGGAATCGTTTGAGCAATAACACGTGAGTAATGCTAGAGAAGATAATTATTGATTTTTGAGTGTGTTAGCATGTTACATCGAATTTGAAGTAGTGAGTTATTATTTGACTGACCTTTATATAATGTTACGTTTTAGAATATTAAGTTTGTGTTCTCTCGTCAACAATATGAAATACTCCGTACGTTGTGTAGAGCACAAATAAGTGAAACTGTTGTATTAGCATCTTCTGTGAAATTAGACTTTACCAGCAAAGATAAGTTAAGCTAACTTTTAGAATATGTAGTCCAAGAAATAAGATGCCCTTATTATAACTAAGAAGAGTAAAGTCTAAAAGATCCTGATCAGCAATAAAATCAATTATATCATTATTTATATAATCATATTTACTAATTATATACATGCATATACTTTCTTTATGAAAATGGTGAAAATGCTTAATTTTGAAATTTCTGCATTATTCTAGATTGCCAGAAACATTTTTTTTATGTCAAAATTTTCTGAAAATATTAATGCTGCTTTTTGTAAAATCTTGGTCGTATAAGTTCATATTTCTGTAGGCTTTGCTTATAATCTAAATATTTCTATAAATTTGTATGATTGTTCAGTTAGGTATAATTTAACGCATGTTGAGGGCCTTAATAATAAGAAACTTCTTGACAGTTTATGAAACAATTTCTGTCATATATAAAATACGAGTTAGACGCGTACTCATTATGTGACGTCAAAAACTCTTTCTGTTCATAAATAATGTCAACTTTAAGTTCAAAAAACGTAGTCTACACCAATAGTTATAGCATTACTACTCATCTGTCAAATTTGTTTGTCTATTTAGTTCTTCGAAATATATATATAAGATTATATTGTAGCCGACAAAAACTAAACCTGGTCATAAACTTTTATGAAAACTATTTCAGAATTACTTTCAGTTTTATAATCGAATCTCATTTCCCTTGATGCTAATTGTGCATTATGACGCTTTATTATTCTATCTTAAACTAAGAAACGTAATAATAAAATAGAGGTAAAACTAATAACATGCGGTGTCACTTCTCTAATAGTTTCTTTGCATACGAGTTCAACCACCAAATCTGTCTCTATTCAAATCAACACACAACATAAAATCTGCATCAGGATTTACAAGACACGCATTAAGGTGTGTAACTGGTTTTGAGGGTTTGGCTGGAGAAGTGAGAGTGCTGAGAGTTAAGAAAACAATGATAATCGTTCAATAGAAACCAACAATATACGCAATAATGTAACTGCTAAAGATGTGTTTAATAACTAACAAGTGTTAACTATAATAACTTATGTATGAATTTAAAATAATAAAAATGTACCTAACTGAAGCGAACCATATTGTTCCATTATTAAAGTTAAAGGTTATACAGTGCCTTGCAAAAGTATTCACCCCCCCTGCAAAGTTTCCACATTTTGTTGCCGTCTGAGCTTGCAGTCATGAAACTTTCAAATGGGACTTTATATTTAGAATATATACAATCTACTCCAAACTGAGAAAGCTAAAAAAAAACGCTGATATTAGGTAAGTAAGTTACATTTCAAAGAAAATTAAAATATTTTCAATTGCATAAGTATTCAACCCCTTTGCTGCGGTAACCCTAAATCAGTTCAGGTGCAAAATATTAGTTTGAAAGGTGAAACAATTAGTGGGTCGCGGGTTCGAATCCCCGACCCACCAGACATGCTCGCCCTTTCAGCCATGGGGACGTTATAATGTGACGGTCAATCCTACTAGCCGTTGGTAAAAGAGTAGTCCAAGAGTTGGCGATGAGTGGTGATGACTAGCTGCCTTCCCTCTAGTTT